TCGGGTTTTACCCGAACCCGACCCGCGGACCCGAATGCCCAGGCCTAGTTCAATCTTAAAAACGTCGAAAACTAACCGCGCCTAGGCATCATGTCCTTAATTGGTCCGCAAGTTTTGGTGTTCGAAGTTCCGCATGTTTTCACGTAATATAGATTTAACACTTAAACTCATTTTTAAAAAATAATAACGATTTTTACTAAAATTTAAAATTTAACAATTAACCTTAAGAAAGTAATTCATAATTTTTAACTAAAATCATGTTAATTTCACTATCACTATTGTTTTTAATAATTAGTTTAACTATTCAATCTAAAAAAGTCCAAAACTAACCGCGCATACGCAGTCTGTCCTTAGTTGGTTTGTAAGCTTTGGCGTTCGAAGTTCGGCATGTTTTCACGTAATATAGATTTAACACTTAAACTCATTTTTAAAAAATAATAATAATTTTTACTAAAATTTAAAACAAATTTAACAATTAAAGTATTAAACTTTAAGAAAATAATTCATATCTTTTAACTAAAACCATGTTAATTTCACTATTGTTTTTTAAAAATTAGTTTAAGTGTTCAATCTTAAAAACGTCGAAAACTAACCGCGCCTAGGCATCCTGTCCTTAGTTGGTCCGTAAGCTTTGGTGTTCGAAGTTCGGCATGTTTTCACATAATATAGATTTAACGCTTAAACTTATTTTTTGAAAATAATAATGATTTTCACTAAAATTTAAAACAAATAAACTTTAAAAAAATAATTCATAATTTTTAACTAAAACCCTTTTAATTTCACTATTGTTTTTTAAAAATTAGTTTAAGTGTTCAATCTTAGAAACATCAAAAACTAACCGCGCCTAGGCATCCTGTCCTTAGTTGGTCTGTAAGCTTTTTGGTGTACGAAGTTCGGCATGCTTTAACGTAATATAGATTTAACACTTAAATTCATTTTAAAAAATAATAATGATTTTCACTAAAATTTAAAACAAATTTAACACTTAAACTTTTAAAAAATAATTCAATTCTTTTAACTAAAACCATGTTAATTTCATTATTATTTTTTAATAATTAGTTTAAGTCTTCAATCTTAAAAACATCGAAAACTAACCGCGCCTAGGCATCATGTCCTTAGTTGGTCTGTAAGTTTTTGGTGTTCAAAGCTCGGCATGTTTTCACGTAATATAGATTTAACATTTAAACTCATTTTTAAAAAATAATAATGATTTTGAATAAAATTTCGGAAACTTGCTATATGTCTCCTTTCTTGTATTTGCTATATATCATCATCAACAAGAGCTCGAATGGTGAACCACACAAGCACAAAATCGTCCATAACCAAACGTTTCACTATTTCAGGTTCGTTCAGATTTGATTTAGGGTGTAAATGGTAACCGAGGAATCTGGTTGAATTGCTGAATCTGGCTGAATATATTTGTGTTTTTCTGCGGAATCTGGCTGAATAATTGAAAGTTCAAATGGTAACAGCTGAATCTACTGAATTTTTTTAAAATAATTAATCAAATAAACTTATAAATTAGAGAATTGTTATGCCGAAACCGAACCGAAAAACAAGAACTAAACTAAAACCTACGAAATAACCAAAATAGATCTTAAACTTCATAACCGAAAGAACCGAAACCAAAATATTTCGGACACTTGAATGAAACCGAAATTCAATTATATATCCAAAATATTAGTTTGTTTTATAACGAGTAATTAAAAAATCCAAATAATCAAAAATATCTGAATAACCGAACCGGAAACAAATGGACCTAAACCGTAGTAACCGAAAAATACTCAAAATTTCCAGAATATACGAAATTTTTTCCGAAAATGTCTAATATACCCAAAAGTATTCTAATTTTTTGGTTATTCAGATAAGAACTAGAACCGAAAAATATCCAAAAAAATTTTGGTTCCTAATCGTTTCTTGATATAAAAAAACCGAAATACCCAAAACCAAACCGAACATGACCCAATTCTAAAATAACCGAATAGATGCTAAACTCAAAAACTAAAATACCCGAAACCCAAAAATACCGAATTGAAACCGAACGAAATACCTGAAAGTTGGAACTATCCGCTATTATCCCAAATAAAACCATAATATCATAAAAATATTCAAAACTATTAATTCTTTACCTTTAACAAAAAAAAAATTATTAATTCTTTAAAAATCCACAAATATACAACTTTTTCCATTACTCAACTTTTCCTCTAACTTATCAAATGATGTAACATTTTTTTTTTCCTCAAGAATTCCTCAAAACCATGTTACCATTTAGACTCTTAGTATATAGAAAAAAGAGAAGTGAAACAAAATGAAAAACCATAAGAGCATCTCCAACGGAGGTGTTTCATAGGATGTCAAAGAAATAAAAAAAAAATAATAATAATAATTAAAAGTAAAAGAGTGAATGAGAAACGTTTCTAGTTTGAAAAACTTTGAAAGACTGTCTGACACATGGCATTCTGGTTAGATTTTTTTTATTAATTAAAATTTAAACAAATAATTCATTTATTATAAAAACATTAAATTATTATATTTGACAAACCACAATAGTTTCTTTCCGTTGAAGATGCTTTAAGTAACTCAATACATCAAAAGCCAAAAACGAAAGGGTTTCAGTAAAACACCGGTCTACAAACTCCCATCAACTCACATGAATGAGAATTAAGAAAACAGAAAAAAAAAGGGTTCCAAGTTCAATGAAATTTTATTCGAAAACGACAAATTCAGACCATAAAAGAGGATGAACAGATGACTTTCCACTCCTCGTCGTTCGAGATCTGCTTCTTAGGAGCTTAGGCCTTTGACATGTGAACCATGTACTCAGTGGTGATGAAGGGGTCGTTAACAGCGAGGAGCTCAACATCGTCCCTCTGAAGAACAACTCTAGCAACCAAACGGCCGATTCTTCCGAATCCTAATGATTGCAGAAAGCAAAAGAAAACCAAACGACCAATACGGCCTTAGTTAAAATTTGGAGATAAGTAGGTTGAAGAAAACCTCAATGGCCATTTCTGTTTGTTTTGAAACTCCTTAATGACAATGTGGCAACGACAGGAGAAGGAATTAGCAGTGGCTGCTTCAAAATTTGCTTGAAGATTTCTTGATTGAATCTTGAGGAGCAGGAGCTTGATGAATGCTGAGGAGAATGAATAGACTCTGAAATGTGGATGATGATGAGCAGTTGAGAATCTATGTGAAAGAGACTTGGAATTTTCATATATAAGCGTAGAGGACACGTGAACAAAAGGAGTCTCTGTATACATGAGAAATTAAGGCTAAGCCAAAAGAGGATTGAGATTATTTGTCAATAGAAACGATGGAAAAAACAAGATTATAGTTTTTTTCTTTCAATTATTATATCTTTTCAGATTCTAATGTTAAGGTCAAATCAAATATATAAGGGAGATTAAGTTCCCAATATATGACACATGTGCAAATTCATTCAAAACCTATATATAACCTGTGTTTTATAAATCTTACAACTATAAACTATTAATGTCTAATTTACCGACTGCCGAACCATATAAAAACTTCAAAATCGTGTGTGAAATGAGACTACTAGATTTTTTATTATTTAACATTGACCCGTTAATAGAAGGGTCCTAATTTAACATTGACCCGTTAATAGAAGGGTCCTAATAGAAGGGTCCTAATTGTCAACTATGTAGTATGTATTAGTTCAACTTCAAGGACATTAATTGTCACGGCAGATTTTTTTTTTATTGTTTTAATAACAAGGGTAATAAGTGTTGCCATCGAGTAGTTTTGCTCATCGGATTTTCTAGTGGACTCAAAGCGTGACCCGATTGGCCAAACAAAAGTGAAAAAATTATGAGTAAAAATAATTCTAAAAAGAAAGCGAGTTGATGCAATGCCCCCAAATCTTTTACCACTGCTTTGTTAGGGTGAAAGAGAAATGAAATCATGTTTGATGTCTTAGTAAGAAGAGCCCATCTTCTTCCCCTGTCATAGCAGATTTTATTTCGGGATTTGACATAGTACTAGTACAATAATTTGGACAAAAATACAAAACCCATTCCTGGATTTCTTCGAAAACGACATAATCCGTCGTTAATCTTGGCCACACGGCAGGTTTGTTGCCTAACAACGTTGACTCATTAATGAAAGGGTTCAAAGAAACCCCCATAGTCACCGCAGGATTCAATTAAGCCAATTACTATTTCCTCGGACCCAAAGTGGTAACAACAGGATTTTTTTTTTAAAGGAGAATATAGAAGTGATGGTGTCATGAAAGACGTTTATGAAGTTACCGGGAATTGTGTGCGTGTTGTTTTTTTTTAACGGAACTTGACGTGAATGTGTCAAAATCGTTGGATCTCACGAGTTAACGCGTCATCATGTCTCAGCCATGATTTAATTTGCGTGTCTCATTTGCACACGTCCCTGCCTATCACATTTTCTAGGGTTCATATCTAGATGGCTCGTGGCTCGTGCCTCGTGGCGGATATATCTAAAACCCTAGTATTCCAAAGTTCACGCGATCAATTAGCAAATTAAATCACTCTTCTGTATACGCATCTATTTGGGTCTTATACTCGAGGAACACAAGAAAAAAGCATTTAGTCGGTGTTCATACTCGTGGATCACTACAAATACATCTCTTTGGATCTCACACATCACGTATCACAATTAAAACACTTTTACCTAGGTCTTATACCACTGATCACATATCACATAACATGATTACATGACACATTGACACTCATGTACCTTAAGGTTTCAGTGCGCATCGGCGCATCGCCCATGGCCGGGTCAAAACCGAGTCTTAAGTTAGGAATTCTCGAATTTTTTACCAGTTTATATAGTAAATTAATGCAACCAAAAATCATTACGGCAAAGAAAATTCAGAGAGCAGAAAATTCAGACTTCAGAGAACCAAACAAAATATATACCAAGAAACCAAAAAATCATAATTGATTGATAACAAATTAACAATACGTCACTACCTCGAACATGCATTATAAATAGAGGGGGTGCCAATAACATTTATCATCATCAATTCATCATCATCCACATATCAAAGAAAACACAAAAACACAATCAAGGAAATGGCCAAGTTTTCCAGTATTCACATTCTCTTCTTCGTGTTCATCACAGGTATACAACAGCAAACACACTCTGTTTTTGTTTCTTCTTTGTTTCTTAAGCTTCCTTTTGATTGTTCATCGTCTTCGATTATAACATATTGCACCATAATTTCCTAAATTGTTTCGTCTTTTGTTGATTTGGTCTTGTGTTTTAAAACTGCAGCCGGCATTGCTGTTTCTGCCACCGACTTCACAATAAAGAACAATTGCCCTAACACCGTCTGGGCCGGAACTCTCGCCGGCCAAGGACCCAAGCTCGGTGACGGCGGATTTGAATTGACTCCAGGTGCTTCCCGACAGCTCACGGCTCCTGCAGGATGGTCAGGCCGGTTCTGGGCTCGTACTGGCTGCAACTTTGACGCCTCCGGCAACGGTAGATGCGTTACCGGAGACTGTGGCGGTCTAAGATGTAACGGTGGCGGAGTTCCTCCAGTCACTCTTGCTGAATTCACCCTCGTAGGCGATGGCGGCAAAGATTTCTACGACGTGAGCCTCGTTGACGGTTACAATGTCAAATTGGGGATAAGACCATCCGGAGGATCCGGAGATTGCAAGTACGCAGGATGTGTCTCCGACCTCAACGCGGCTTGCCCTGACGTGCTTAAGGTCATGGATCAGAACAATGTCGTGGCGTGCAAGAGTGCCTGTGAGAGGTTTAATACGGATCAATATTGCTGCCGTGGAGCTAACAATAAGCCGGAAACTTGTCCTCCCACGGAGTACTCGAGGATTTTTAAGAACGCTTGCCCTGACGCCTATAGCTACGCTTATGACGATGAAACAAGCACCTTCACTTGTACTGGAGCTAACTACGAAGTCACTTTCTGCCCATAAAAAGGCGAAGCTTCGATTTAGATTCGAGTCGGGTTTAATTACCTCTCACGTTTCTTTTGCTTGTTATGTACGGAAAGATAAATAAGGAAAGATGATGACTATGAATCATCTTCTTCCACTTATAAGCCTTTTTTACTAAGTATTCAGTGGTTACACTCAGCTGATTTGCATACAAATTAAAGAAATAAAACAAAATGATTTGATATACGGTTACTAGTACTTATCTATTGCATGATCCATGCTGTTCTATTGACACTCACATATGCATTTGACTTGTGTCTTAATTATTCATAAGATGTTATAACTTCTGATTCAGTCAGTAAATGAAGTTTCCATCTGATCGCATAAGCATAAAACCCACTCTGTCCCAAAAGGATGTTACCTTCTTTTTTTGCAGGTGATGAGAGAGCGAAGAGATCAGGAGAGCGTTTGCTCGCATTCTTCAACTGCTACATGTTTTCACGTCTCCTGTTTTCTTTACATTCTTTTGTTTGTTTTCATGTCATCTTATTTCCTTATCTAAGTAGGTGCAACTGAGATCATGTTTTTTTTTTTTTGGGTAAATGAAAGTGAGATCATGTTAGTTTACCAAGTGTCGTTAGCTCAACTGGTAAAGACCCTAGGCGAAGCTTAGAGGTCGCCGGTTCGAGTGACGCTTGGAACGAAACTAATATTACATGCTGTGGTTTCGGGCCTGGGGGGATTACGGACTTTGGCCCGGAACCTCCTGGTATTCAAAAAAAAAAAAAAGAGAGAGATCATGTTAGTTTTTTTCGAAACCAACTTTGAACTTTCTTTACCTTTTTGTTTGGGAAAGATTTGAGAAACACAAAACCAAAAAAATGTATATAGAAACATTTTTCATTCCCATAATGATCATCAACCCACTTAAAAGAAAACTTAGAAATCTTACAGCTATTAATGTCTGATAACAGCCATGGCCGCATATATAGATCAAAACCGTGTGGTATGGTCGTGTGGACGATGTATAACTCTGAGTTAAGAGACAAATATAGAATACTGGTCGGTTAACATTGAGCGAGCCATTAATGAAAATGATGAAAAGTTCAAGGAAACCCATCGTCACGACAGGTTATAATAAATCCATTTACTATTTTCTCCAACACATGCACAATTAAGTCAATTTATGAACTAGATTATATGTTTAAGTCAGTCTTTTCACCTTTTCAATTTCAAAGTCGTCTCCCTCTATGAGCCCATTCATGATTCATGATTACACGAACTTTAGTCGACATGTTAAGTTGTCTACGCTTTCACACCAAAAACGATTAAATCGTACTTATTGTCTATTTTCGTGTTTTAGAGATCAATCTCATGACATGTTTCTGGTGAAGCTACCGGAAAATATACATTAAAATTTAAAAATTTAAAAACAATCTGCCATTTTGACCCAAAAAAAAAAAAACAAACCAAAGAATGAAAATAGAAATTTCAAAACGAAAAAAAAAACATAAGTTACGGAATCATGGGAAACCATTTCTACTTGCGCGGGATAATATGGGTTGTTTTTTAACGGAACCTCATACGAACGTGTGGAAATGGTACACGTGCGCTCTTCACGTCTCTTTGTTTTTTTTTTTTTTTGGTTTGAAGTTAAAAAGAAAAACATTGATTGTTGGACAATGCTCTTTTGACCATTACTGATTCATGAATCCGTAATAATGGCCCACGATATATTCTTTTAACCGTCAACTTAAGAAAAAACAAACTATAGTAAATTAACGCAATAAAAACCATTAATGCAAATAAACTTCACCGAGCCAAAGAACATGGGCTAACAATCGGCACAAAGCACTTTCTTTTTTACTGTGAAAGGAAAATATTCACCGAAATTATAATTAGTTAAAATGACAACACTACCTTGAAAAAGCACTTATAAATAGAGGATCGGTGCGAGTAACTGACATTCATCATCATCATCATCATCATTCACAGAACACATACACGCACAAAAAAAATTTCATACAACAAAATGGCGAATTACTCAAGTATTCACATTCTCTTCTTGGTCTTCATCACAAGTAAGACCAAACACTCTCTGTTTTCGTTCCTCCTCTGCTTTATCTGTTTACAAATGAGAATAATATTAATTCTACTTCTTATCAAAACTCCTTTTTTTGTTCATCGTCTTCAAATCACAAAACATAGTTCTCAAAAACATTTCGTGTTTTATTTTCCTTTGGATTCAACAGTTTTTTTTTTGTTTCTGGAATTTCAGACGGCATTGCTGTTTCCGCCACCGTCTTCACATTACAGAACAGTTGTCCTTACACCGTTTGGCCGGGAATTCTCTCCGGTAACGACAACACCCTCGGCGACGGCGGATTTCCCTTGACTCCTGGCGCTTCCGTACAGCTCACGGCTCCTGCTGGATGGTCAGGCCGGTTCTGGGCTCGTACCGGCTGCAACTTCGACGCCTCCGGCCACGGTAACTGCGTCACCGGAGACTGCGGTGGCGTTCTAAAATGTAACGGCGGCGGAGTTCCACCAGTCACTCTTGCTGAATTCACACTCGTTGGCGATGGCGGCAAGGATTTCTACGACGTGAGCCTCGTCGACGGTTACAATGTCGAGATGGGGATTAAACCTCAAGGTGGATCAGGTGATTGCCATTACGCCGGCTGTGTCGCGGACGTCAACGCGGTTTGTCCTAACGAGCTTCGGATCATGGATCCACATACCGGAATCATCGCGGCGTGTAAAAGCGCTTGTGCGGCGTTTAATTCTGAGGAGTTCTGTTGTACCGGTGCTCACGCGACGCCGCAAACTTGCTCTCCGACGCATTACTCGGCGATGTTTAAAAGCGCTTGCCCTGGCGCTTACAGTTACGCCTATGACGACGCCACAAGCACCTTCACTTGTACCGGATCTAACTACTTGATCTCTTTCTGCCCCACCCGGTCTTAAAAACCGGAGCTCCGGTTTAGATTTCACGTTTCTTTTGCTTATTATGTACTGAAAGATTATTAATTTGTTTCATCTTCTTCCGTTTTAAATATTTTTCTTGTACTCAGTTGTTACATTCATTTCATTTGCATTGTTGCTTTGATTTGTATCTTCTCTATATTTTACTAAGTATTGATTTTGCATTACCTATATACAACCTATGAACCTAAGATATTAATATCTGGATAAACAAAGATGGAGGGGCTTCACTAGAGATTTTCTTTGTTTCATGTCATTTTGTTCCTGATGACTTACTTACATGAGAGAGCAATAACAACTACTAGTGTTTACCCAAAAGAGAGAGAGCTAAACTACTATACTCAAACTTTTTAAGCCGCGGAATGGTTAAAACATGTGACCCGCGCAGATTCGACAGATTTTTGTTAGTCTATTAAAGGATATTTAGCTGATGCAGTTAAAGATCAGTGTTTCTGGCTTCTTTTGGCTTCCACTTGGCAAGCCTTCTTCATTCCTGTTGCAGCCTGAACGAATCCCACGATAACCTGAAGCTCATCCATTTGCTGTAAACAAGAACATGTCTCAGACTTATCAAAATCAGAAGACAAAATTCACAAACATATCATAGCTTTAATGTTACCTGAGACATGAAGTGTCTCTGAATAATGTCAATCAGTTGCTCCTTTGTTGGATTTGGAAGAGCATCCACCTTTACAAGAAAAGAACAATGAATCACCTATTGTCACAAACAAAACACTCTCTTCCCACAGTTACCAAGTAACATCAGATTGTTCTGTTGAACTCACGAGGTTAAAATGTCGCCAATATCTCAGTAATGCAGCCATATCCAACTTGGTAAGATCAACCTTCTGCGTAAAGAACCATATTCCCTAATCAGTAACACATAGCATTAACATGAAAACCCCCCAACAAGTAGAAGAAATTTGAGGTATTACCATGTTCATGCGAGGAGTAATACTCGAGTTTTTTGAGTGTGAGTCACAAGAAACTGCCCTGCACAAAGCCTTTTGAGATAACCGCGATGATCTGTGTCCTCTCTGCTTCGACTTATGAGGCTTCAAAGTGTCCTCAGTTGCTGCAAAAGACAATCAAAGAACAGTCTTAATGAAATATTTCACAAGTGCTTAACGAATGAAAAAAAATCTAGGTCAGAAAGATTTGATCTGATACCATGAAATACTTCACAAAGGCTTGCTTTTCTTATTCACATAGTAATCAAGTATTTATACAAGAGAGAATTTCCTATTTCTCGATAAAGTTTCCTTATTTCTGATGAGACTAAATCTGTAGTGTAAGATTTCGGACAATATATTGACAGAGACAATGAACCAAACTTACTCATATCGGAAGGATTATTCCACTGTGTAGTATGGTCGACTTCAAGATCATTGTCTTCTTCGTTCCCTGTAGGATGTTCAAGAACACTAAGCGCATTCCTCTGCAACTTCACTTCAATTCCATTAGTCAAAACCTGAAAATTAAAAAGCACAAGGACTAAGATTAAAAATTGTACTCCATAAGCAAAGTAAAGTATGGGACTTTTTGAGAAATGGGAAGGCTTGGAGACAACAAGTGGTGGAACTTGATATCGATATTAGTAAAAAAAAATGATGCTTTGGGTTATGAGGAAATCGTATAAAATACTGATTTTTATTGTATAGCTAGAGAAATGATCAAAAAAGGATCAAAGAAAGTAAATTGATAATATAAAACTAGAAAGCCTAATGCAACGGAGAACATCTATAAAAAGTTAACATCAAACCAAAGGAGAAAAAAATTCGGCAGTGGATGAAAATGACCCATCTGAAAAAGAAAGAACAAAAACCCTAAATATAATTAATTTAAGTAATCAAAATTAGTGACTACAAGTAAAACAAATCTAAAAGCCAGCTTGAACCCACAAAGATGTAAAAGAGATAAGGATTCTCATGAAACTGATTGTGAAAAAGAAACAAAAAAAAGTTAAAAATAAATACAAAAAGTGCAGATCGTTATGATAAAAAATAAAGTTATGATAATTTTAGAACAATCAATCCCATCGATATGGATTTTGCTTTATTTTTTTTTTTGTTGCGTTAATCGATTCGGTAACATAGAAATTTGTTGCATTATTGAGCTCATGATTCTGGATACAGAAAAGGGGAAAGATGCAAATAAGACAAAACCAGGTAAGAAGAAACCGAAGTTGATCTTGCTCACCAGCCAATGCCAACCACCGAGTCCGACGGCTTTTTTAACGACGCCTTGAAGACCGACGAGTACGGATTTGGTACGGTTGTTTCCGGTAACGATGACTTTGGTATGACGTGGCAACACAGATAATTCTTCTTCGCTACTGCAATCGCCGAAGCAACTTTGTAGCTGAGAGAATCCTCCTCCTCCTCCTCCTCCATTGAGGATGCTTGAGTTGTTCTTCGCAGCTTCCAGCATTTGTCTTCTCTCTTTCGTTTTTTTTTTCTCTACTATCAGAAAACAACCAAATCGAGTTTCACAATCTTCGAAACGGAAGTTGTTGCATTTTGGAAAGGATTGAGAGATGAAATAAGAGAGAAATCGAGCTACGAAATTAGGGTTTTTTTGGTCTGATGAAGAAAGACAGAGTAAGAGTGAGAGAGAAAGAGGAAAAAGCAGAGTATTATGAGTAAGAGAGAGATACAGACGAGGGAAGGGAAGGGACGATAGCGACCGCCTTCCTATCGTAACCAATAAGAAATCAACACGTGTGTTTTGTACTTCTATCATTTGCACTGTGGAAATTGAGCGGTTTTTTCATGGATGGGTACCAAAACCTTTTTTTGTCTTTTTTTACCAAGAGCTTTTTACTTTTTACTCTCTCTAATAAGATGGAGACGTCATTGTTGGAAAACTTGCCCAACATAATAATAGATTAAGAGCTTATATTCCTTGTTAATTCTCCCAATTGAATGATACCATATTTTACTCAAAACATAATTTAAACCAAAACCTTATTTTCCATATTATTCATTATATTACTTTTTTGATAAAGAAGATAGCTAAGCTAAGCGCTCTATTCATTATATTACTTGTCTTGGTCGTGGAAGATTCAGATTTTATAAAGCGAAATTCAACTGAAAAAAGAGTGGATACGTTTGGTTAAATCCTTAGAAACATTTTGGGTACGAATTTGTATTGGAATCTGAGTTTGATGCTTTTGGAGGGTTTTAAAATGATCGAAAAAGGAAAACGAGGGCCACACTTCGTAAATTTTGTGTAATGTATACACGCGATCGACGTGAATCTGAATGGTTGACTGGTTTTTTCAAAAAAAAAGAGTCAGGCATAATGGGCCCATGCAGCGTAAAGTTACGATTATACCCCTATGGTTTATTTGTTTTCTTTCGTTCCTCTCCCATTGAATTTGAATTCGAATTTGTATAATGTCCATACTGAACATTTAACTAAAGAGTGATTCGTAAGACAACATTTTTTTCTTGTTCAAGACATAGCGTTTTGTACGTTTGAAGGTATAGAGTTAGAAAAAGAGTTATCAAGGTAACATGGAGATAATCGAAAAGGCAAAACATATTTCAGAAAAAAGTCAATATTTTTCCCTAAATATGAACAGCTTAAGAGAAAGTTATAAAAGTATTTAATTAACTCAAAAATATAATCAACTAATAAAATGAAATAAAGAATCTAATTGGTATGTTGAAGATTGCATCACTAACTTTCGACATGGTTTCCAAACTCTACAAAATCTCTTTATGTTATGAGCTATAGCAATTCAATGTATGCCAGCAGCTGTGAGAATAAGTTTGACATTCAACTAATATGAACAATTTGGAATCTCCGTATTCTGTGTGAACGACTAGTCGATTGAATAAAAACTCACAAGTTTCATCGACACCACTCGTATAACGTGAATCAAAATTATTACAGTACTTTGATCGTACACCCTAAAGAAACGAAAAAATAGATTATTGATTTGTAGATATTGTTAAACAAATTACATTGGCAAAAAAGTTACATTAGGATGAAGTACCTAAAAAAATTATTGGACATGGCTAAACCGTTTGGAGTCAATTTCCTATATTCTTTGACTAACTCTTTGCGTTGTGAATGTGTTCTTCTACGGAAAAAAAATACAATAAACCATCAAGAAAAGATAAACACCAACTCATAGAAAATAATCTGAAAAGATATTAAAATTGCAAATCGACACAAACCAAATTAAATTGAAAACGTAAGATATGATACGCTACATCACAAGAATTCCGAAACTTATCTCCAAGAATTCCTAAACACTTACATGTTATAGAAGATATTAAAAGGCATTGAGTCACTTTTTCCCGGTGAGCTAGCAACCAAGCAGAAACTGAACAAAACATGACAATGGTTTTGTTCAAAAAAAAAAAAAAAAAAAAAACATGACAATGGTTTTTTCTGTCTCAATAGGTGATTCAAATGGTCGTTGCCTTCATTCGTGGAGCGATGGAGACTAAGATTGAGAGTGGAAATAACATGTTTTATTAGCTCTATATGGGACATGTAAGCTTTAAACTGGAATCACACACCAATTCTACAATAAAAAATGAATATTGTTACGATTATTGTCATCACAATATATAAAGATTCGGTCACAATAATTCTATATGCCTAAAAGCCAAATTTGATGTTCAACTTATCACGCAATTGATGTTACAATACACTATATAATCTTACTTGGAAACACATATCCATTAACTTGTAAGTATCTATCCACATTACTAGCTACGCGTCCTTCATTTAATATATGAAACTAATGTTGATCATGTGTATTTTTCTAGAAAACAAAATCAATGAAAAATGTTTTGAATTTTTTGTTAATGAATATTTTTAGATTACTATTGTGTATCCTTGGGAGTTTGGTTTTAGTAGATTTTGATGACACAGTTCTTATGGGTTTTAATGGTTTATCTAATTGTTTTCAAAAGTAAAACAACGATTTAAAACATACTTAACACATATAGTCTACTTATCGCCAAACCAAAGAAGAAACCCTCTAAACATATGTATTCCTCTTAACGCTGGTTCTAAGATTTAACAGATAATATAAAAGTTATCACGACTTTTTTCTCTATAAAAGTTACTAGGATTAAGTACAACATTTTCGTGATGCATTAACAAAGTCGTTGTAGTATAGTGGTATGTATTCCCGCCTGTCACGTGGGTGACCCGGGTTCGATCCCCGGCAACGGCGTTAACCCTTTTTTATGCCTAATTCATTGTAAACCCTCTGGTTCATTCCAAATGTTTCCCAACTCGCGAAGGTTCCTTGCTTATAAGACATTTGTTACACGGTCCTGCACTTTCTACAAAAGTAAACGTCATAATCTGAAAAAATTACAAATAAATGAATAATTAGTTACATCTATACTAGCAGTCTACCTCAGAGAGCTGTAGTGTCTCATTAGACCATATGCAAGGAGGAAACTTTTGATTGTGTTCTTAGGATTTAAAAATAGGAAATAAGGTGAACAGTGGTAGAACAGTTCTAACTTATCCTGCAAACTGTTCTTCCTGAAGAACAGTTTTTATAATTTTAAGAACAGTTGTATCCACTATTCAACATTTTTATTATTTTAAAACCCTTAAGAACACACTAAATGTTCCCCCTTGCATATGCTCTTAGTCATACAACTTCTTCTTTTTTCCTTTTCCTGCCATTGCAGAAAAAAAAAAAAAAAACTCACGACATAAAAAAAGGAGACATTTTAAGATTAAAAAGATGGATTTAAGTCACAGGTTCTTATTATTTTGATAAAACAATGTAATCAATTTTGATTTGGTTGGAAGATCATATATCATACAATGTAATCAATTTTGATTTCGTTGGAAGATCATATATCATATATGCCGCCGGGCCTAGCTGTAGGACAAACAACTCGTAAACCCCTTTTCCCTTTTATGTTCATTGAACTATACAGTTTTTTGGTTATGAATAAAAAAATAATTATGGACCCAACAATTAATCCAAATTTTGGAAGTAAATTAGATACTAAAAGCTTAAAATCAACATGTAAATACTGTCTAAAACATACTAGTAGATATGACAAATCTGTTTCTTTATATTATCTGTAAAGTAAGAAGAAGGTTAAAAAGTTATAATGTATGGTTTACATACAAATAATCAGGACAAAAGTGGTCAATTCGTTTTCAAAAGTGAGATTTGTATGCAAGAAAAGTGCTAATTTCATTTGAATATATCATTATGATGTTAATCACACGGCTTATTCTTTGGTAATTAACAATACAGTTCATTGCATAAAATAAAAATATAAAAAAAAACAATCAAATGGTGTGTTTTTCGGTCACACAAGTAAGGGACCCACACTGAAGAAACGGGTCCCACTTTGTCCCCTCCTTTCTCTTCTCTGTATTATTTGGTCATTAACTCACAGAAAAATGATTAAAAAAAGAAAAAACAATAACGTACTGCTTCGACGAATACACCACACGCTACTATACGTAGTTATCCTCTACACCCAATCATATACCTCTTCTATGCACCTTACCAACTCACCCTTCAAAAAAAACGTAGTACACGTGGACGATCGATATAACAAGAACACGGAGTCGTTATGTGAACTCAACGTACTTGAACACACACACGACCCAATTATACTTTGGAGCACAAAAAAAAAAAAAGGTTTTGGAGAAGAAAGAGAGATTCTGCTTCGATTCCAGCGAAGGAAAAGCGTATTCCTCGTGAGCACTAACTTCTCACTCCTCTTCTTCATCATCTTCTTCTTCTTCTTCTTCTTCTTCTTCTTCTTCAGTCTACGTTCACACAATCTTTCACCCACCCATTAAAAGCTCTCTCGGAGGTTTCGAGGGGCTTGGTTTTCTGATGACGTCGGATGGAGCTACGTCGACATCAGCAGCTGCGGCTGCGGCGGCGGCAGCAGCGGCGAGGAGGAAGCCGTCGTGGAGGGAAAGGGAGAATAATCGGAGGAGAGAGAGACGGAGAAGAGCTGTAGCTGCGAAGATATATACTGGGCTTAGAGCTCAAGGTGATTATAATTTGCCTAAACATTGTGATAATAATGAAGTCCTCAAAGCTCTTTGTGTTGAAGCTGGTTGGGTTGTTGAAGAAGATGGTACTACTTATCGCAAGGTGAACAATTTCTCCAATTTTTCCAGATCTGAGCTTGTTTCTTCATGTTTGAATCTGAATTCGTTGATTTCAATTCCGTTTAATCGGGTTTGAATCTGAGAAATTAAGGGTTTTCTCAAAGTGAATTTGGATCATCAGTAACTATGGATGGATCTAATTTCTCAAAGTGATTTTTTTTGGGTTTTCTTACTAATTTAGAGTGATGTGTTTAAGGAGATTTAATCAGATTAAGGACTTTCTGATGATTCAAATCTTCAACATTTGTAATTCAATAGGTCTGCTTCCTTGAGCTATTATTAGTATGTTAAAAGTCTTAATCTGTATATACGATACTTAATCCAAAGTCATTGCATTGGTGATTGGTTATGACATTGTGATGTTTGATTGGTTATTGTTTTGTTTTGTTGGAGTATCAGGGATGCAAGCCTTTAACTGGTGAGATAGCTGGGACATCGTCTCGAGTTACTCCATACTCATCACAGAACCAGAGCCCTCTTTCATCGGCCTTTCAAAGCCCCATCCCGTCTTACCAAGTGAGCCCGTCTTCTTCGTCTTTCCCGAGTCCTTCTCGCGGTGAACCAAATAACAACATCTCCTCTACATTCTTCCCCTTCCTCAGAAATGGTGGCATTCCTTCCTCTCTTCCTTCCCTCAGAATCTCGAACAGTTGTCCAGTTACCCCACCGGTCTCATCACCGACTTCCAAGAACCCTAAACCGTTGCCCAACTGGGAATCTATCGCTAAGCAATCCATGGCCATTGCTAAACAATCCATGGCGTCTTTTAACTATCCTTTCTATGCTGTTTCTGCACCTGCTAGTCCGACACATCGCCAGTTTCATACCCCGGCTACTATACCTGAATGTGATGAGTCTGACTCTTCAACTGTTGATTCTGGTCATTGGATAAGCTTTCAGAAGTTTGCACAACAACAGCCATTCTCTGCTTCTATGGTGCCAACCTCTCCTACCTTCAATCTTGTGAAACCCGCGCCTCAGCAGATGTCTCCAAATACTACTGCGTTCCAAGAGATTGGTCAAAGCTCTGAATTTAAATTTGAGAATAGCCAAGTTAAGCCGTGGGAAGGAGAGAGGATACATGATGTGGGTATGGAGGATCTTGAGCTTACACTTGGAAACGGGAAGGCTCGTGGTTGACATAAACAACTAAACAAAGTCGGATGGCATGTCGATGGAGTGTGAGAAACTAATCCTCCTGAGTTTCTTCATCTTTCTTCTTCCAGGTATTTGGATCTTTATGGAATCTCATATGCTCTTCACTTACTATCCAAATATGCTGCACAAAGCCTTCTCCAGGGAAGCATTGGAGTATTAGAGTGGTTGTTCAATTCGTGAATTTGGTTTCAAAAGCATTATTTGTAGATAAAAAAATCTTAAGATGTATGATTCTATTTCCATACAAATGTTATATTAATTAGTGGCTTGAAACTGTTTTGTGTCTTGTCAAATTGCTTAGTCATGTATCATTTCTTGAGCCGATTCTGCCTCTTAGCATCAAGATCCAAAATTTGCAGGATTACAAAATGTTAAATTTTTTATTTCCCTGCAATCAATCTTCTTTCAAACACTAATCCATATCATCAAATAATCTAGTTAGACAAAGCTAGCTAGAAAGCACAACCAAATGGACACACCTAGCTACAAATGCTACTTTCCATAATGAATAAAAACATTTGTCATCATCGTCTTCATAATAATCCAGTCCAGTCAGTGTGCTGCTGATCAAACAAGTAATGGAGAATGCAGAACCAGTTTGGTTTCAGTCTCAGGGCTTTTTGGTTCTTTACATTCTTGGTACCGGTAGCAAGCTGTGAGATGATCATTCACAATGCCAGAGGCCTGCAAGAAGGAATAAATAACAGTAGGACCAACGCAGCGAAACCCTCTCTGCATCATATCTTTGCTTATGTACTCTGCCTTTGGGGACTTAACCGGTACTTGACGACCATATCGATAGCCATTTCTTAATGGCTTGTGGTTCACAAATCTCCAACAATAGTTGCTAAATGATCCAAATTCTTGCTTGACCTGTTTTCAGTTTTAATAAGTTTCCAACACATAATATTTCACAATTTAATATCAAAACACACAATACCTACCTTAAGAACCGATTTGGCGTTCTCTACAATTGCTCGCAGTTTCTGTTCGGAAAGAATAAGGCACCCATTTACTCTAAGAGACATCAACCTCTTCTCTGTGAATTGTGCTATAGCTGAAGGATCAAACTCTTCAAAGAGCTTCCTGCAAAAAAAGAAACAAAAATTTCTGATATTAAACCAAACCAAAACAAAAAATAGCAAAATTCTTTGGCCTAAATTTACCTAAAGTCGTCTCTTTTGTGTAGGATTGAAGGCCAGCTAAGCTCAGCCAATGCTTGTGAGAACACTAGCAGCTCGAAGAGTTTCTTGTCATCACGAACTGGAACACCCCATTCCTCGTCATGGAACAACACGTAGATCGGGTCTGCCCATCAATCACAATCGTTATTATTAACCGAGAAACTTATATACTCCGTCAATCTTCAACATTTTTTTTTGTCTTTATCAACTACAACAAGACCTAATTTTGCTGGGAGCAATTAATGTGTTGTTGACATCAATGAAATTGATTGTTACCTTTATTAACTTTATCAGAAATTTTACATTTCGAAAACTATAAACAGCCATTCACATGGCATCAATTTTGAAGTCGATTGGGATATTTTTTGGGGCCAAAATGAAGAAAATTGGGTAAGTATCTTTAAATTCTTTGCAGATTCATTAAATGTTGCGACAAGGACAACAAGTCTCTACATAGTGTAAAAAAAACATTTTATTTCTAACATGAAAACCAAAAAAAAAACATTTTATCCAATTTAGGACACTACATTGTTTTTATTTCTAACATTAAAACCAAAAAATAACATTTTATTTCATCTTATGACAAAAAAAATACCATCTCCTCGTTATTCACGAAATTCAAGAAAAAAAAATGTGAATTTAAATTAAAGTTAAATGAGGCAAAGAGGGAAAAAAAAAGTTGTCAGACAAAGAAACCTGAATTAGGTGTGATCCAGTGGCATCTCTTGACCGGTCCCGGAATTTTAGGATTAATGTCTTCAACGGCGGCGACGGAGACGACGACATTATTGAGCTTCGTAACTCCGTTCCGTTTCGACGGAGTTATTTTCCCAGAGTTTGTTGTCTTCACAGACGAACGTTCCGAGAATGACGAAGAAGAAGAGGTATCATCAGTCGAGGCTGAGAAATTCGAATCCGGTTTCTCCGTCGCCGGGGATTTCGTCACTCGTGGATTCTGTTGTGGTTTCTTTGTCATTTCTGTTTTCGTAACCTTAAATCTGTTCCCGGTTGAACCGAGGATAGCTCGTGACTCAACCATTGGTTTAACCGGAGACCGAAGCTTAGAGACAATAGACATTTGTGAGAAGCGTTGAGTGGTAGTAAATGGAGAATTCGAAGGTAATGTGAGGGTAAATATGGAAAGAAAAGGGAATGAAATGAGATCAGAGAGAAAGTGAGAGATGGAACAGAGCTTCTTGGAGGTTTTTAAAAACAGAAGAACGGTAACAAATAAAAAGGATGTAAACCGGTGATAGCCGGTTAAATATTGCTTACGTGTCGGTTAATTTTTCTGTTTAATCGTTTTATTGGTTTCAGAAAAGGACACCAAGAAATGGTTATTACATGTCGTGAAAATTACGTCTTTGTCATTAAAAGTTTGCCGCCTGCATTATTTTCTAACTTATGGTTAATAGTGTAAACAAATGTTTTGGAGAATGCACCAAAGTCTTTTAATGCTTTATGACTTTCAACCATATACAGTAGGAGTAAAATTTAACGAATCAAACTACAGAAATTAGCTAAAGAATGTTTTGGAGAATGCACCAAAGTCCTCAATGCCGCATGCTTTATGACTTTGACCCATCCATATACAGTAAAATTAATGAAACAACTGTACACTATTTACTTCGACCTCAAAATTAACTGCTTCAATCACAGCTTTTGGCTTCTCGAAGAGGGGCAAGTACAATGATTGTAAATGAACCAAGATTATTTGACCCCTTTTTATGTTATTTAATACAGTGTGAACTAGATAGAATTTTACCAGTTTTTACATTCCACTCATTATTTGTTTCATTCTAAATTAAAAATTCACCAATTGGCAAATAGTGTATTGTTTATGTTCCATCTTCTGTGGGATTTTTGATATGCAAATCGAAATGATGATCCTTCTAGTCATTATAAAATCAAAATTTAGGTCTTGATAAAACTAATATCAAAGCAAATCGATCAATCAGATTTTAGATCTAATTGATTTCGGTTCAGACCAAACCGGTAGAAGTTCACATTCTAATACAATATTAAGTTTATGGTTTTTAATTCAAAACAAATTTTAACAATAAGTGTAATGAGTATTGACCCATATCCACACTTGTGTCATTTTTATCTATTTATGTAAAACTTTAGATGTGTGACTAATGGAGGGCATCAGAGGTGGGCGGAGAGTCAGGGTCTAATTTGGTGAAGTGTGTGTGGTCTTGAAGGGTAAAATAGGGAAAACAAAAGCTTTAAGTAGAAGTTAAAAAAGTAGCTTACCGTTAACAAAAAGAATCGTAAAAAGCCAACACAACACCAACACCAACTCCACCACAACCTCATTTCTTTAATTTCGAACGGCTAACTACTAAATGTCTAAATCAGTAAATCCTCTTTAATTGGCTTAGCCCAATTAATTATATGGCCTTAACTACACCCATATCTCTCTCCGTACGTACTTAATGAAAGCCTTTTATGATGATATATCAGATAGATTCATAGATCTCTCAACAAACCAACAAAAAATTGATGTAAGTATACCTGTGACAACTAAAATTCTGCAACATCTTTTGATTCAGAACCGTATCTCTGTACATAGCCTTTGTGTAAGAACTAAAAGACTAAAGACTCGTTGTCTTCCTTTAAACCGGTCCGAGAGTGTTGAAGTGGTCCCATGCTTCCTAAATGATGGAACCAAACCAAAAAAAAAAGGACTTAGATTTAAAGATCCTGCAATGTTTTCAAATTGTCATAAATATTGATTATAGTAACAATAGTAACCTGTAAAAATTCGAAAACTTTCTCGGCCATGTATTTCTGGTTTGCAGAAGCACCCTTTTGCTGTAGTTTGTCTGGATGAAGGATTAGTAATGCCCTCTGGTACGATTTTCGGACCGCGTTTCCTTCGATCATATCCATTAGAGGAACTGGCTTCCACCCGCTCCCGGACCAAAGAATCTGTTAAGTAAAATTTCCAAATTCATTAGTTATGCAAATAGGCTAATGCATAGGATCCAACAATGGTTTGTGTTATACATCAACAAAACACTTACATATTGCAGCGTGGATAGAAGAGACCGAATGTTTCCGCTCTTTCCACTTGACCACTTGCGGATTTTAGCATCGATCTTCTGCAGAGGTTCGTATTCCGTTTTCTTTTAATTTTGAGGCTATTTTCGTGTAAAAGAATCGAAAAAGTAGTATATCTCTTTGCAATTGCAGTAGTATTACCTTGATTTCTTCAGCATCCTTATTGGTTTCTTCCATTTTGTTGTTTTCATCTTGTGTTATATCCTCCACCTGCACAGCTCATTACAAGTTCCACACCAATTATAAAGAGAAACATACACATTTTTAGATTGAAAACCTGAAAAGTTGAAAGGAGCATTAAGTTACATCGAAATTTACATGGAAGGGCTCATCTATATCCTCTGAGGTAGTATGTGCTGATTAGAAAAAAAGAAAAGAAAGATGTTATTTAGTTGTGTAGTGGTAACAAGATTTAAATCCGATACACCAATCCAAGAACTTACTTGTGCTCGGTTCTTGTCTCTCTTCTTGTACAGTAACACCAGGAGCCTTATAGTTCATGCTCTCCCGGTCTGAATCCTTTTTCTGAGTTGCGTGTGAAGGTTTCGAATCCCGATTCTGCAACGATATTGACAGGTAAGGAATCACAAACCAAGGAACATATAGCAAGATGTTGATTTTCAGGTAAAGTACCATAGCGGGGATATCTGGAGTCGATTTCTTTTGTTGATCAGGAATGTTTACAGTATCTTTGGCATTAGCAGCATCATGATTGATATCAGTCTTGGGAGTTTCTTTAGCTCTCCATCTAGAGCTTTGTCCAAGAGATTCCCCACCTGCTCCAACTGAAGCTCCTTTACTGAAAATCTTAACAAAGTCACTCACTTTTCCTTTGACTCCATCTTTGCCAACTTCTGCTGCTGCGGATGAACTTGCGAAGCTGGATTTATCGGGTCTCGGGCTACTATCCAAAGAATTTTTAGTGCCTTGTGGTTTCTTTTTTGTTCTTGAATCTTCAGTAAAACTTTGCGTGTTCTTCGCTTTGCTTTTACCTTTTCTCACTTCTCTCTCTGATACTATTTTCTCACCTGCAATGACAAAGAACCAAATGCACAGTCCAAAAAAGGAAGCTAACCCAACCAAATGTAGCAAACATATATGTCTCCAGAAACCAACCTTGTCTTTCATCGTTTTCATGCAAAATTGAATGAAGAGACTTCACAGTAGTAGCTTCATGAGCTTTTGACACACCAGAGAAGGCCTGTTCAGACATCGAATCAATTGAATAAAGAGGCTTCACATTAGCCTCACGTGCTTTTGACACACCAAAGAAGGCTTTTTCAGACACCGAATCGATTTCTGTTTTCTCTTCTTTTGTCTGAACATGAGGACGATTTAGCGAGGTCTTCTTCTCCTCTTTCAAACCACTTTCTCCTTCTTCATTTTCACCCGCTTTCTCAACTGAAGTTTTTAGATGATCACCCAATGTCACCGGCGTTGTCCCCTCAGCTTTAGACATAGAACTTAGTCTAGAGCTTCCCCAAATAACAACAGGAACACCTTTATTAGGCCACTTGTAAATAGAGAAATGAAACTGCCTGCCTTTGCCAGTAACAACAACTCGTGCAGGATCATCACAATCATCTGAATATGATTTAGCAGTAGAGACCATATCGGCTTTGCTTGAAGTTCTTGACAAAGGAGAGCTCGAAACAGTTTCTTTGTTCTTGCTCAAACTACGAGTAGCTAAACCAAATGTAGGAATCTCTGTTGCTTTTGCAGGAAGACTGAGTAACAAAGTCAACAATTATATATATATATATAATTAATCAATGAAACTACTCTCTCCTTGAAATTAGTTTAAAGAAAACAAACCTGAATTGTGCAGGAGACGAAGTCCCTGAAGATTCTGGTTTGTGAGCCGGGCTTAGGATCCGAGAACCCGGAAGTGATGATGAAGATGATTCATTAACTCTGAAAATATCGTCGAAGAAATCATCAGTAGTGAAACGACGCCGGACGGATGTCTCTTCGCCGAAAACAGGCTTCTCGTCTTGAGGAATCAGAGAGCCGACGTCGACGATGACGTCACGACGCCTGAGAGCGGATTCACTGAAGCTATGTCGCGTGACTTGGTTACTATTAGTAACTTTAGAGCGTCTCTTAGGAGGACCACCAAACACGTCACCGAAATCGATGTCCACGTCATCACCGCCGGGATTACGTAGCACAGGTGGTGCAGAGTTGGAGCCCAAAAGAACGGTTTCTGAGCTTGGTAATGTCTGCATAGCACACAAAATAAACTTGGCACAGAAATTTCAGTTTGGTCTGAGGAAGATGATACACACAAGGCTGAAGAAACAAAGGCTTAAGAAAAAGACAAAAAACAGAGAGGTAAGAGTGGGGTTCCATTTGATTTCAAACCACAAAAATTGGATTTTCCGGTTATTACAGAGAGAATCTTTAGACTCTTCTTTGTGGATAGAACACATATAAAGCCAAACCCTTCACTCTCTCTTTGTCTTTCTTTTCAATCTCAATCTCTCTCTCTCTCTCTCTGTCTTGCCCAATCTTTCTTTCTTTTTGTCTTTCCCATAATCTTTTTTTTGTGGTCAGAAAATAATGCAGAGTTAGACTCTCCTAGAACAGAAGAAGCCTCTTTAGATTTGAGCTATATAGGATACACAAAATTCATACTACAGAAGAAGAAAAAGAAAAGACTAGAAGCGCAAAAGGAGAACTGATATATGTGGGAAGATGAAACTGGACAAAAAAATTTAGCCTACCTTTTTGTTTTACTGAAGGAAGTATATATATATAATCAGAATCTGCCATTGAGGAAGAAGATTGGTTTTTGTCAATATCTTGCTTAACAAGCATCCATCTCTTTTATCAATCTGAACCATCTGGGAAGCTATCAAGCGCGTCTTGTTTGCCATTAACATAGAACTCCACTACTGCTTGCATTCGTTCGAGTTTATCTGGATGGTAATTCAGATGAACAATCACCGGCTTCAATTTCTTCAGTTCATGATTCTTTCTCACGGTTTTGAAGAGAACCTTACTATTCATGAACTCGTACATATCCATGACTCTTTTGGAAGCGTGTAAGCCAGTGTACCCGGGATGCGAAGGGTAAAAGAGTTGCTCGTTGAAAACCGCTTGGTCCCATGCCTCTGACTTAGAGAGTGTATAAGCCACTCGGTCCAGTAGCTCGATTGAAGGAAGAGTTGGTCTTAGATAGAAAAACCCTGAATTGAAAACCCATATCCTCATTGTGTGTGCATACCGAGCCCATCCCATGGATGGTTCATCAAACACATCGTTGAAGCCATACGCTGTCATGTTGTCGTGGCCATCGCTCATTGACTCCACATCAGAGTCTCTGTACAGATGACCAAAAGGGTTCTGCAGAAATACAATGTCCACATCCGATAGAAGAACACTGTAGCCAAGCTGCAAGAACTCTCTTAACACACGGAATTTCAGTCCGGAAACAGCGTGATTACCTCCGCTTTTCCCAACCATGTCAACTGCTTTATCTGGATCTCTCTTGTAATATGAAACCTCCTTCGATTCACAGAAACTCTCTACGGAATCATCCAAGGCGATAATTAGGTAGTTTAGAATACCAACCCTCTTGATGCTAGCAATCTGCAACTCCAGCATTGGTTTCACATTTGAATTTGCAAGAACCACAATGATCTCTTTATTGACAGCTACTTTCTCTAAAAGCTTAGCTAATCTGGGGTTAACAGACTCGTCGGGAACCACAGTTGGATTAGTTCTCAGACTCTTGACAGTGCCAAAAGATCCTGCCTTAATCTCTGATCCCAAAACTAAGACTTGTTTCCTAGCATTATCCGTTCCTTGTTCCGCCAACCGTACCTTTTCCGTTAGCTCCCTGACCTGCTTCCTTAACTCTGCGTTCTCTTCGGAGATAATTGCAAAGTCTGATTTGAGCATTTTGACCCGTTCAGACGATTCACATGAAGCCAGTCCATCCTGAACATTACAAAAAGGAAACAGAGAAAAAAATGAAACTTCACTAGTGAAAGTCAGATGTTCAAGACTTAAAACTAAGTTCAACATGATGATTGAACCATGCAATTTGTAATTCTACTAAAAAATCGACTAAGATTTTGAATTCCTCAAAACAAACGCAAGAGCTGACCACAGAGAAATTTCAGAAAAAAAAAGAAAAAGGAATGTACTGTGTTTAAGGCATAAGATCTAAAGTACACCTTAGAGGTTGATTTCGAAAGGCGTTCTTCGTTAACAATCAGCGATGATGATTCCGAGTTCAAGAAGCCGTTCGGGAACAAGACGGAACAGACACACCCGATAAGAATTCCGACCAAGATGGCAACCGCAATTCGAGATCCACGCAACTTGTGGATTTTGTCTTTACGACCCGCCATTGCCGAAAAGACGCAGAAGCTAAACCCTTTCTTCTTCTGTGATCAAACTGTATATGTGGTGCAAGTTAATTTTATATGAGCCTCTTTAACCATTAATTCGTATTTATTTCCTAATTATTTTTCTTAAGTTTCATTTACTGTTTCTTCCATAGTCCATTTTATTCTATTCATTTATTATGATGGCTGCTGAAGTTGTCCTTGGTCATACTAATTAAAGACGATAACATAGTGATAGACAAAGAAATAATAAGTGGTTTTAATCTCTATATATACTACACAGTCTATAAAGATTGCACTACTTGATTGGATCATTTATGTACAAGTTAGGCAAAATTTCATTTATGTACAAGTTAGGCAAAATTTCCCGAACCTACCACAAACCAAACTTCAATTCAATATTTAATTAAGCAGGATCGATTAGACTTTGGTTATTAAGGCTCGAGAGTAATTAGGTGAAGCTAGACAAACATGTTACCATCACAAGTAGGGCAAAGACATGGATTGATACAAATTGGATCATGCACTTCTTGCAAGTATACGATGTATTGACTACGGTTCCGATGAGATATCTGAGATCTCTTTATCAAAAATCGCCGCAAGGAAACAGTTTTGTAATGGATTTGGATAGCTTCACACTTCTTACAAGTATCGGACTGATGTCAGAGATGCCATCACTTGTTCCAAAATATAAAAGAGGCCAACAAAGCTCCTTTTCGGTGGTGGCTGACGGCTTTAAGGAATCAGAGCTTTCGTTTTCAATTTCCATCTCCCGCCAAATCTAGTTCTAAATTCGGCTTATATTTTTCACACTTTTTATATAACAAACATGAACAATACTTGGATTCACCCCTAGTGGTGAACCCTTGTATTCACCCCTTCTACCTTTAACCAATAGAATTATATCATATCAAATATAATATTTAACTAGAATTTAACCCGCGGTACACCGCGTGGCTATATTTTTTAAAAAAATATAATGTTATTTTTTAAAGTTTAACTGAAGATATATCATATTAATTTGTAATTTTAAATGTAGATATCTATCTATGTATTATCTAGTGTATGATTACTATTGTTTAGGTTTCAATTTTTAAAGTATAGATACGAAAACATACATTTTTTTTAAGTAACGATGTATGGTGGATTTTAAAATTTTGAATATTTGACTCCGAAGTATACTGTGGGTCGGTTTTTTAATAACTAAAAATTTTAAGTTGTATTTGTTTTGTTAATATTGTTTCTTTTGTTTTGTGTTTAAGATTGTATAATTGTATTTTGATTGTTAATTTTAGGATTTCATCCTTAATATACCGTTATTAATATCGACCCAAACCCGTCATTCCATATAAACCCGTCTATATTATCCCATTAGCTAAATTATTAGTGTTATAAAATCCAAGAAAATAAATTATTATTGTAATAAAATCCAATAATTTTAGGATCTCACCCGTGGTATACCGTTCTTTGAATGATTTTAAATTTATATTACTAATATATATTTTAAATTTATCATATAAAATAAATGATTTCAGGTTTTTGTGTTTTTATTTTATTTAAATAAAGCAACGGCTTAAATGATGACATATATAGTTTTTTTCTTGTATGTGTATATAATTTTTCTATGTGAATATTTTGATTATTATAAATTAGTATTTTTATTACTATGCAAAATGTTAATATAAATATTTGCTATAAAAGTTTTTTGAAGATATATGGAAAGATTGTGTAGAGATTTTTAAAAACAAATTAGGCAAGATATTGTTTGGTTCATATCTTTTATTTAAATTTTGTAAAAGTAAATAATAAATGCCAATGGCATTCTTTGTAAATACATTTCAACTCCAGGATTTATTTGCTAAAAGTCATCCAAAAATGTATATATAGATCAGAAATTAATAAATAAACAAATATAACAAATTAAAAAAATCAAAGCATTTACAAAAAAAAATTAATTTAGTTAACGTCGTCTACGTTTACATCGTTGCCGTTTATCTAATTAGGTTTTCAATTTCATTATCCTCTTCCTCTGAGCCATACGACACAATTGATAATCCTCTAGACATTGGAAAGGTAAATTCTACATTCACACAAGTCTAAGTACCAATTATATCTCAGAACCTATAATTATTATTTTTCATCTAATTGCTTATAATCAATTTGAAGTGTTATATGAGATCACGTTAATGCAAATAATTAGTATTGGATTATATATGCTTCTTGTTTCAGGGTACGTGAATGCAATCAATCAATAAATTCTTTTTCTTTATTGTTTTTGTCTATGACTCTGTCTCCCATCTTCTGCTATGATTTTTATATTTTTTAGAATTTCTTCGTTTGCTACTTGTGTTTGAAATAGAAACCTTGGAAATTTTTTGTTTTAATATTAAAACTCATCGTTGAAGAACCAACCTACGACAAATGGTCTTCTTTCTTCTTTTTCATAATTTCTTCCAAAATCACATTCATAATTTCTTTTTCATAATTTCTTTCGTCGACGTTAACTAAATTAATTTTTTTTTCATGATTTGATTTTCTTAATTTGTTATATTTGTATATTTATTCATTTCTGATTAAATGTTATACTTGACATGGCATAATTCTATTGGCTAAAGGTAAAGGGGGTGAATACAAGGGTTCATCACTAGGGGTAAATCCAAGTATTATTCAACAAACATCTTATTAATTGTGATCAAGCCCATAAGATACTGATAGAGAAAGAAATAAATTGTTTTAAATCTTTCGATAGAAACAAAAGGAAGTGGTTCTAATTTTCTTCAACCAAGTTCCAAGTTTGACAAAAAAAAAAAGAAAAGAAAGTGGTTTAATAACCTAAAACATCAGAAGAAAAAGAAGTTTGGTTCTTTCGATATCTTGCTTAACAAGCATATATCCCTCTATGAACCATCAGAGAAGCTATCAAGCGCATCTTGCTTGCCATTAACGTAGAACTCCACTGCAGCTTGCATTCTTTCGAGTTTATCTGAATGGTAGTTCATGTGAACAATCACCGGCTTCAACTTCTTCAGTTCCTCATTCTTTCTCACCGTTTTGAAGAGGACCCTACTGTTCATGAACTCGTATATATCCATGGCTCGCTTGGAAGCGTGTAAGCCAATGTATCCGGGATGTGAAGGGTAAAAGAGGTGCTCATTGAAAACTGCTTGGTCCCATCCCCCTGACTTAGAGAGTGTATCTGTCACGCGATCTAGTAGCTCGATAGAAGGAAGAGTTGGTCTTAGATAGAAAAACCCGGAATTAAAAACCCATATCCTTGTTGTGTAGACAGTCCGAGACCGTGTCATGGATGGGTCATCAAACACATCGTTGAAGCCATAAGCCGTGTTATTGTCATGGCCATCGCTCATGGACTCCACATCAGAGTCTCTGTACAGATGACCAAAAGGGTTCTGCAAGAATACAAGGTCCACATCCGCTAGAAGAACACCATAACCAAGCTGCAAGAACTCCCTTAATACGCGGAATTTTAGTCCAGATACGGCTGAACCACTTCCGCTTTTCCCAACCACATCTATCGCGTTATCTGGATCTCTCTTGAAATATGCGACTTCATTCGATCTACAGAAGCTTTCTATGGAATCATCCAATGGGATAACCAAGTAGTTTTGAATACCCACTCTCTTTACGCTAGCAGTCTGCACCTCCAACATTGGTTTCACATTGTTATTTGCAAGAACTACAATGATCTCTTTATTGACAGCTACTTTCTCTAAAAGCTTAGCTAATCTGGGGTTAACAGACTCGTCGGGAACCACAGTTGGATTGGTTTGCAGACCCGTGACAGTGCCAAAAGGCCCGGCCTTGATCTCTGTTTTTTGTTCCGCCAACCGTACCTTTTCTGTTAGCTCACTGACCTGCTTGCTTAACTCGGCATTCTTTTCGGAGATGATTGCAAATTCTGCTTTGAACATCTTGACCCGTTCACATGAAGCCGATGCAACCTGAAAAGATAAACAGAGAAAGGATGAAATTCACCATTTAAACTTTGGTTTTGATGTCAGTCTTGAGTAAGATCCAAGATGATGATGATGATGACACATGCAATATATACTTCTTCTTACTCAAAAATAGATGAAGGTTATGAATTCTCAAAAAAAAACGGACTCAGTAAGAGACTTAAATCATCAAATTTTCAAACCCATCTCCCGCCAAACATAGTTCTAAATTCAGCTATAGTATTCAAACTTCATTCATCAATATTTTTGAATTATAATATCCAGCAAACCCCACACCATGAAAGGGATTCCAGCATTCCCCATATAAATCAGCTCAAATGCTGTAATTGTTAGCTTCCACAGCACATCTTCTAATTCAGAACAAAACTCTGAAGCTCTAGACCACAAAATTTCAAAAAAAAAAAAAAAAAATGTATATGATTATAGTATAAGATCTAAGTTTACCTTCAATGATCCGGACTTGAAGAAATCATTTGGTAACAAGACAGTGCAGACGCACCCGATAACGATTCCAACCAGGATGGCGATCGCAATTCCACATCCGTGGAATGGTTGGATTTTCTCTTTACGACCCGCCATTGCCAATTGAATTTCTCCGAAAGTGAAAGAAAAGGATGCAGTAGCCAAATTGATAAACCCCTTTCTTTCCTCTATGATCAAATCGTAGAAGTGCAAGTTAATCTTATATAAGCCTCTTTAACCATTAATTTAGTTTACTTAAAATATTTTTTAACACTTCAGTAATTGTCTTGTCTTGATTGTACTGACGGCTGAAGTTGTTCTTGGTCAAAGGTCATATTAACAGTTATGATGCACGGGGACGTCGTTTCGGTGGCGTCTCACGTACCAGAAACGTGATGGGGACTGGTACTTCACGGGGACAACACGGAAACATCCCTTAAACGTTTCATGGAACAGAGGGACGGCAAGCAAAAAGCGGGGACGTGATGGAGGTGAAACGGAAACGTTTCCGAATCATTTATGAGATATTTTATGTGTCCCCCTTATAATAATAGGAAATTTAACTATTTTTCATTAAAATCCCAAACTATAAAGGAATAAAAGAACAAGAATGTGTATATATTTCTATAAATTCAAATTTCAACTCGTTCTTCTTTCACTTTTCTGTTTTGTGTATTATTTTAGTGTAGCATAGATTAATAATAATAAGTTAATCTAATATATGCAGTTTGATTGATTAGATGAATACAAGGACAAAATGTAACATTGGTAACAGTGGTAATGAGACATATTTATAATTTAAGGGTATTTCTTTATATGTTTTATATGTGCATATAAGTAATATATATATATATATATATATATATATATATATATATATATATATATATATATTGAAGTTCCCATGCCGTCTCGTATCTATGAATTTTTATTTTGCCGTTTTTCGTCCCCGTTTTCGTACCGTTTTGGTGCTACTTATTTAACATCTAACTAGGCAGAGAGGTTTAGGCAGAATTACCGAACTCAGCACAACCAAATTTATTACACAACAGGACCAATAATTCAATATTCTCCCCTCCAATCCACAGCATTCAACACTAAAAATCGTACAAAAACCAAACCGTTTTCGAGGTTTCTATAACACAAAGATGATCAAATCATAAGCCTAAGAAGTTTAATGGTACTCCTTTCCTAAGCAGTTGAGACATTTTTGTACCCTGCAATGTTAAAAAAGTTTCCAAATTTTAGTCTAGAAGAACAATGTTAGATACCACAATGGCTTTTTCATGTCTTCTCAGACTTTTGTTCTCTGCTTAAGAGTTAAAAGGAGAAAAAAAAACCTGTGACCATCGCAAGTAGGGCAAAGACATGGATTGATACAAACTGGATCATACAATGGTGACCACTTTATTGTTGCGTTTCCTTTGCATAATTTGCATATGTAAAACCCTTTTCCACGACAAGCTCGACAAGCTAATCCGCTTTTCTTCCGTTTTTCTTCAATTGTATATCGCAATGCTCCTACCGCTGCTGAAGAAACCGCGGTTATGATCACAAACCCACCAACAGCTACGCCTGCGGTGGTTCTCAAGAATCGAATCGGTTCTAGTGGCATCTCTTATAGAGCTATAGTCTCTCTGCGGAATTTCGTCGAACACTTTGAGTGCCTGTTATATCGTTGATGCTTTTCTTACCTCTCTGATTTTTTTCGGTTACTGTATATCACAGATTAGACTAAGAGGGGAAATTGATGGGTAGAAAAAATATCACTTTTTTTCCCGCCGATATATTAACACAAAAATCGGTGATTTAGGATTTGCAGAGATGATGAGTTTGGAGGAAGAAGATAATGGGTTGATAATATAATACTAATCATTGTGTGCTTTGACCATTTTAGCCTTTTTATCAAGGTAAATAAATACCAAACCGAAGTACATTAAATCCCAGCTAAACCGGAGAAAACCGGAAACCATCATACCAACCAACCTTGGTAGTTTTTTTAACTCGTAATCCTACTAAAGAGAAGATGAGCACCATTTTGAGGCTGCAAGGTCACAAGCAAAACAGGAGCATGAGCATAACTTGGAGACAACCTGAAACTGTAATGCTTCAAGATCGTAGCCAGAACTGTTTTGGCCTCATTCACAGCAAGATTCTGTCCCACACAAGTCCTAGGCCCTAACCCAAACGGCACAAGCAGAGCTGATTGTTTCTTGGGATCTTCAAATCTACGCGGATTAAACTCCTCTGCGTCACTTCCCCATGTTTCTTTATCGTGGTGCATCGCGACCACTGATAAATAGAGTTGAGTTCCTGCAGGAATGTCAAGGTTTCCAAGCTTAGCTCTCTTAAGAGTGTCACGGTTTAATGTCATTGCTGGAGGGTAGAGCCGGAGAGTCTCGTTGATTATCATACTTAGCTGTTAAGAAAAACAAGAAGTAAGAATGTGTTGCTAAGAATTTATAACTCTTGAAACCATTTTTGAGTTGGGGCTTAAGGACTTACAGTCTTGAAGTCTTGTAAGATGTCTAGAGTGGGAAGCCCTGTTGGTCCGAGGAGCCGTATGACTTCTTCCCGAGCAATCTTTTGCCATTCTTGGTGCATAGCTAAGAGGACTAAGACCCATGTTATAAGGTTACCAGTTGTTTCCTTAGCTGCAAAGTAGAACGTTTTGCATTCATCTATAACTTCTTCAATCCCAAGTATCTCTTCTTGACCTTTCTGATTCGTATAAGGAGACATAAAAGCGTGAAGCAGAGTTCCTGATTTCTCAACAGCTGTTTTGTTGTTTTCGATCAGTTTCAGGATAGAACCACGGATTTGTTTCTCAACCCTCCATATTTCTCTATTCGTTTTCGAAGGAAAGAATCTAAACCAGCATTTGAAAATGAGCATCAAGGTTCTTGTTCCTATCATAACTAGAAAGATTTTCCACAAGACTTACCTGAATCCTGGGATATAAACGCTCCATCGAACCAGATAGAAAAGACGCATCATACGCTCCTGCAAAGCAAAGATTCCTTTCCCTTCTTCCACGCTGTTCCCAAAAGCTGTTCTTGATAACATATCTGCAGACAAACTATGCATCTCTCTGTGCACCTCTAACTCAATCTCTTCTTCTCCGTTTCTCATCTCCTCCCATTTCTCAAGCAACATCATAGTACTTGTCACCATTTCTGGCACCCACCTCTATAAAAAAGATCTCAGCTTTAGCCACAATCCTATAAAGTAATCAAGTTTCGGATTTGGTAACTTTTAAACTAAACTAGACTGAGATTCCAAATAGGCACAATGTTGACTGAATTACAGAGATTAGCATCTACATTGATGTGTGTAAGTGTTACCTTGAGTTTCTCCATTGGAAAAGCTTGTTTGGCGATTCTTCTATGGAAAGCCCATTGATCACCTCTAAGACCAGGAAGACCCTGAGCATAAAGCAGCTTAGACAAAGGGTTATGCCCGATTCGGTCAAACGACCCACCCGTCGTCAAAGCTTCCCGGATTAGTTTCGGATCCGACGTGGCCACCACAGGTTTTGACCCGAACCAGTAAAGGAACGTCTTCCCGTAGACACGTGACCATGCGTGGTAGTGAGGCGCCACACGGTGGACGAACTCATGAGGATTGCTCCCGGAAGGAATAGGCTTTGATTTCGCCTCCGCCGTTAGTCGGCTCACCTCGCCGGAGTTTCCACTGAATATCCGGTAACTAGGACCCGTCACGCTCTGGTTCTTGAAGTGAGATTGGGTTCTCCACGGAACCCATAGATTACTGTAGATGAATCTGAAGACAAGGAAGAAAAAGACCAAGACCAAGATCAAGAACACTGCCATATTTTGACGTTTGACGTTTTTATCCTCAAGTCTTTCTCTGCTTCAGTATCATTTATTGGATCTTGAATTTTTTTTTTGTCTCATCTTACTCTTGAGATTACCACAACAAAATTACAGTAACTAACAAGATGTGACCGGTGAAACAAAGCTACCGGTAAAAATTTTATTTCTTCGCCGGAGTTTTACACATTACAAAAATTTCAAGCGTTGACCGGTAAAAAAAGAACATAAAGAACTATGAAAAATAAATATAAAAAGGGACTAACTTTCGTCATCTAAAGCTTTGGTATTACCAAACAAACTCTCTCTTCTTTTACCAAATCCACTTGAATCAAGACCTGACCCACCACGATACTGCATCTCCTGTGCGGTTGTTCTGTAGTTAGTAGTTTCCACTGGAGCTCTTGAGCTCAGATCGTTGGACCCCACTGATCGGTATGCACCTGTTGCTGCTCCAGGAGGGTACCGAGACGGCGAAACGTACCTTCTTCGAAGATCCAGGTGGTCATCGTTTCTTCTAATTGGTTCACCAAATGCGGAACTGTTTTGTGCAGTTGTAGTAGAAGAAGAAGAAGACATTGTCGTGGAGGTGAAAGGATCATCAGGTCCCCAAGCTGTGAGAGATTCTTTCTTCTTGGCGAAAAAATGCCAAGCGCCGAATAAGAAAAGTATGAAGAAGAAGACAGGACTGCTCCAAAGCATTGTGTTGAACTCTGCTTTGGAGATCGGAAGCTTTGATTTGTATGTAGCGACGTATCCGTCTCCTAAACCCATCACAAGCAGCTTTTCGCGGTCGCTTGCTATCAGAGGAGTTACCTTTTCTAGCTTCTGGTGATCAGTGGTTTTAGATGATTCTCGATGGCTCAAGAACGTTGACCTGATATCTTCTAATGCAGCCGGGAAAAGAAGCCGAGGACCCGTGGTTCGAACGTAGTGTTGAGTCGATACGTTGTATACAAAGACTTTTTCTTGGTTGACTACAAGAAGATAGCCTTTGATGGCTTGTAAGGCTACAGGCTCCTCCATTTGAACCTTCTTCTTTGATCTCACTCTACATTTGAAGTTCATGATGTCTCCGAGAAGCAATACGTGAATGATTTCGCCTTCAGATGTGAATCCGTAAGCTTTAGACCGTTCCGACGCATCAAAAACATAACTTCTTGCTAGAGAATGGTTAAGACCTTCACACTCAGATTCTCTGATCTTCATGCTTCTTAAATCCAACGAACCAGCACCAGTCTCGGTGAGAAACAACAGCCTCTGCTTCAAGAACACGAGCGGTCTACTCGTTGGGGTAACCGAGCCATAAACCGTTCTGTTCTCAGTGAAAACTGTGAGCTTTCCGCTAAGATCCGTCGCCAATATATACCTAACCCGACCCACATGATGCACTTCCAATACAGTCACTTGCAAACCATCCTCCGTGCCATCAAACTTGCCAACATTTTCCATCACAGCGGAATTCAAATCTTCCCCCATCGAGCCCTCGCGGAGTCTATGCAACAAGATGACTCCGCTTTGGTGGCCCGTCACCACGAAACTCTCGTTCTTATACACAGACATGTAAGACACCATTGCCGTGACTGGTGAATCGCAGGTGGTGAACTCAACCAAAACATCCCCATTTCTCAAGAACACAAAAACCCTACCACTTGAATCCCCAACTGCGAAATACTTGCTAAAACCTTCGTGATCTCGAAACGGCAACACGTTGATACAAGTCGCTTCAGAGTCTAGTTTCACAGCCGATGTGAAATCGAATCTCTCAAACCAGAAAGGACTGTACTTTGTCACGGAGAAAGCCTTAGCTTTCTCTTCGATCTCATCACGACTGATCTCTTTCTTTACCTTAAACGGAGTTTCAGATAACTTAGCATCTAATCTAGCAACTACTTCCGTAAGATTCCTAACAAGTTCCACTAGTCTATGCAATGAAACACCTTGCCTGTCGGATTCACTGCTGGTCACGACTCCAGGAGAAGCATCTGAGTTCTCGTACGGAATCGGATCGGACTCGGAAGCTGTGACATCCGAAAAAGACGGCGAAAGGAAAAGCAAAATAAGCGAGACAAAGAAAAAGAAGAAAAGGGACTTGCCGTTTCGAGTATCCGCCATTAAAAGAAGCAGAAAGGCTCCTTTTTTTTTTTTTTTCCTGAAATCAGTAAGTAACCGCCATTTGTGTAGATCTACAAGAGGGCAAGAATTCGGATCCGGAAAGAAGAAGAATCTATCTGAGATTTTCTTTTCTAAGTCAAACAACGTTGAGGTAAGAGTAATAAAATAAATTTGTCTGCTTTGAGATCCTTTTGTGTCCGAAACTCTCTACTCTCTGGTCTTCTTCAGTCTCAACTCTCAACGAAGTTTAAGGGAAGAAGAAGAAAAAATGGATATATATTTTTTATTTTTGGGATCAAAGAAAGGTCAAAAAAAAAAAAAATGGTGCCAACAGGTTAAGATATTTATTCAGTATATTACAACATGTGATAAAAAACTGTTTGCGTTAATGGATGTTTAGTTGAATGATTCTTGAATAAATTCTATCCATTAGAAAAGAAATAGTATACTATAAAACATTCAATGTATAAAACAAAACTTTGGATAATAATTCTGATCTCAATGTCTAAGAAAAGATTCGGATGACTACGACGGACGATCTAATCTCAATCTCCCACTAAAGTCTCTGTAGTTACAGCAACCAACCTATGTACTTGAGAATCGGAAAGAGTGAAGAATCTGATCAGCAAGATGCCAAAACGCGCGGTCCTACGCCGTTTTGGTGGCCACTCATTAGCAAAAAGTGACACGATCCAGTGATTCACGTTCATTCACCACACGTGCTGTTTCTTTGCAACTATGGATGGCAAAATCCTGAATTCCTCCAAAACACATTGCTACTGTTCTCTTTATCTTTTGTTAAACTGATTTCATCTCTTTTCCTGTTAAATATTCATTTTTAGTTGGAGAAATGGAGAACAAGAATAACATTCAATTAGAGGAAGAGGGTGTTTACTTGTGGATTCGTCTTAACTGGTTTCTTATCCAGTTTGAAAGCAGCAAATATAGACTCGGTGTGGTTGCTGCTTATCATTGTCTCCCGTGAATTGAAGCAAGTTTTCTTTGATGACATCTTTAGAATCTCGTACAAGTTAGTTCGTTGCCTCGTGCTCGTCTCCTCCACTGCTGTCGCCTGTAATGTTGCTGATCTCTCTTGTGACTGTGAGGCAGTGAATTTTGCCGGAGCTCTTTTTGGTCGGCTTTTTTCTTTAATAATCTGCAAATGTTATGAAGAAGGCATTTAAATATGTGTACCAGAAATCTGTGTATATGTTTTTATAGGGAAGAGCTTTACCGTCTCTGGAGCTGAAGGTTCCTCTGGCACTGTGTTTGAGCTTTTGCTGTTACTGTCATCACGTTCGAATATATAGCCACGTACAACATTTGAACCGCGCTTGCGAGATCCTTCTGGCATGGAACTCTTTGTAAGTCTACCCAAGAACGATGACTGCAAAAGATTCACAGCATGAGTAAAGTTGCAATTCATTGTCCTGTTTTTGACAAGTCTTAAAGTGTGACCTCTCTACAAACTTTATTGGTATATGGAAGTAACTGAAGAAGGCTTATACCTTGGATGCTGCAGGGTTTTTGTTTATTTCCATGAGTGCCCTCTCTTTAAAAGCTGAAAACAATTGAAAGAAAATGGTTAATAAGCAATCAGCAATGTGTATAAACTCAGCTGAGGATTACAAATAGAGGGAGAAACTTGGGTGGTATCTTACAAGAAGGTTTTGCCTTCTTCTTGATCTCAGGCTTCTTGATGTGGCGAAGAATTTCCTCAGAGTTTTCATCCCCAGTGGATGACGAAGACTTGGCCTTTAGCTCCTGGGGCAGCACAAGGGAAACATCAAACAAGCTTTTCAATCTTTACCATATAGAGAGGTATGGTGGATCAAATGATAAAACATGGAGCAGACAAAACTGTTGAACCGGGATCACCTACCATTTTCTTGTACAATCGCTGTTGCATAAGCTTCTTTTCCATTTCCTCGTCGTCTGATGATACATAAACATCATCTTCATCTGTGAACATTAAAGGGATCATTTCCTTAATTTTCTTTATGGTCATTCGCATGGAATTTGCATGACTTGGATCTTCTTCATCTTCATCTCCTTCTTCACTGGCTTCAGGTTTTTGCACTTCTTCATCATCAGCATCTTCAGCCCTCTCTTCATCATCAGTATCGTCATTTTCATCTTCATCTTCAGACAATAATGTTTCATCATGCTGCAAACCACGTTTAAGCTTCTGTAAGAGTTTCTCTGTCCCTGCAGCATCTTGTTGTTCGAGCCACTTCTGATGCAGTTCATTACGTCTATCTTTATCAGTTGGATCTTCCTTAAATTGACTGACAATCATATCCCTGAGATCATCATCTTCTTCATCTTCATCATCATCCTCATCCTCAAATCGGAGTAGATCATTGTCGCTGTCATCTTCCTCTTCAGCATCCTCATCAATAAATTTTCTAACAGGGTCGCCAGGAGATGAATCATGGGTCTCAGGATCAGAATTTTCCTTTCTGTACTCTGTTTCTTCAGAAGATCTGCAGATGTGAATTAGTTATTGCATAGAAAGCAAGCCTAAGTATACACAATATAACTTAACTCTACAGAAACAATTGGCTTTTCTGATAATGGCGCAGAACACAAGCTATTCATTTATCATCTGTGCTTTGTCCATAAAATATTTATGAACATGTAAAGACTGCGTTATGTGAAGCTTTCCAATATTAGATAGACGAAGAGCATGTCAATGGTAAAGTTAAATTCAATTTCCGCATGTAACCACATCTAAAGATAGACTCACTTATCAGGCACAGGAGACAGGTTAAGTTTGAGGTTCATGGCAACTACTGACGGTGTCATTGCTTCTTCCAAAGATCTGCTTGACGTCTTCTCTAGAAGTTCATCTCCAGAGTTAATCGTTTGTGGACGCAGGGATGGATCCTAACCAAAAAAGGAAAAAACTGAGAGAGTCAGCTTTAAACCTGATTTTACAAACTAACCTTTGAACCATATGCATGTGGTCATGTGGAGTTAACAGAGTAAAATGGATTTGCAGGTATATATAGCTACAGGTTTAAATTCCCAAATGTTTGAACTTACATAAGTCTGGACTCTGGAGGAGCATTCAAACATTCAAATCTTGCACAAAACTTTGATTAAGGACCTCATAATCCAAAATCAAATCAACCAAACATGAAACAACTTCCTATTTGTGCATAGATCTAAAGTATCAACACATGAGTTGGCTCACCTGATGAGTAGGGGTACTTTCAGCTTTTTTGTAAGAGGGACTGTCTGAGTTCTCCAATGGACCTGCAGAGTCCTCCGAGCAATGCTGTCCTCCATGGCTTTGCTTGCTTGTACTTTCTTCATTCTTCTCTTCAGCTACAACTTCCTCAAAATCATCCTCGTCGCATATATCAATAGATTTGGATTTCTTCCTGCTAAGGAATCTGTGAACAGCATAAATGATAACACACAGGCACAGTTACTAATAAGAAAAGTGGTTATGGTGGGGAAGTGGTTGGAGAATATATCAAAACTCACTGTTTTGAAATCTCCTCTTTTCTTCTTCGAATTTTCTCCAAGACAGATGAAATCGGCTTTCGGACAAGAGGGGCGGGTTCAAATGCAGCATCTCTAGTTTCTATCATAAAAAGAGCCAACACAAACCAGCACCAAGCCAAAGGCAATTGTCAGTTCCCTGCAAAACGTTGCAATGAACACAGAAAAATGTTTTGAGACAATCATACCTCGCAAGAGTCTCTGATTTTCTGCACGAAGCTGATCAAGATATTCCCTTCTTTCCTAGAAACGAACCAAGAACAGTAACACCAATTAAACCCAGGAGAAAGAAACAAACAATCGAATTATTCAAAGTTACCTCAAAATGAAACTTTTAAGGAATAGAGAGAGTTACCTTCTTAGTCATGTTCATGGAAGCAGTAGAGACTGGTAGTTCATCAAAATCGTCACTCTTCTTGTTCCTCTTCTTATCTCTCTTTCTCTCCTTCCCCTCTCCATCACTTGTCTCCGGAATCGATCGCTTCTTTCCAGCTTCCTTCGTTGTTTCCGAAACCCTGATTTCTTCTTCTGTATCCAAATCACAGATTCCATCAAACTCAGGCGCACTAATTGGCCGCTCCTTTCCAGCTTCCGTTGTTTCAACAGCCCTAATTTCATCTCTAGTTTCCGAATCAGAGATTCCGTCTTCTTCAGCTTTATCGCCCAGATCTTCAAGAGTCTGGTTAAACTCAGGCACAGAATCAAAATCAAGAACCTTTTTTGCGGTAACTTCATCCTCCACACCCAAACCCTTGAGATCAGATCGAACCCCGTCTTCTTCCTCAAACCCATCGAAACCCTTCCCAGACTGCAATTCAGACTTACCCAGATCCTCGCCGTCGGATCCAGGACATAAATCGGAGATCGATTTAGCTTTCTTCAATCGCCTAAGCATCCTGTTTGGAACTGGGACACTCGATTCTCCGATAGGAGAAAGCTGCTCGTCGTTCATCATCTCCGATTGTAATAATCTCCGGCCAAAATTAGAGGGGAGTCTTACGGTGCCCAATGTTTCTTCTGTTGGTTTAGAAGAAGAATAGTCAGTGCCAAAAGGGTGAAAATGAATAATTCGCTTCAGGATTTACGCGCCAAACAATTCGAATTTTGGCGCCTCTATTTTACCTTAGAAAAAAAAAAAAGTGAGCTTTCTTCGCTTCTAGAACGAAAAAGCAAAAAACAAAAACAAGAAAATCTATATATACATTTTTGAATGACTTTTAGCAAATAAATCCTGGAGTTGGACCTTATTTACGGATGAATGCCATTGGCATTAATTATTTAAATTTGAAAAATATTACTTAAAGATATTACCAATACGATTTCGAGAATCATAAATTCATATCTTCCTTAATTTTCTGAGTCATTAATGTGATAATCTTTAGGAAATATTTCTCTGTAAAAAAAAAAATCCACATTAATGAAGGCATTAAAATCGACACTAACAATTAAATTATTTAGATGTTCAATTATTTTAAGATTCTTATATCTTATTTGATATTTTTTTTTTAATATCTCATTCTTTAATTACTGCGTTTAGAATTTATTGGTTGTTACCTATTTTTTGGTGAAATTAATTGGTTGTTACTTAATAAGTAATTATGGTGCGTTTATTTTAGTTAATATCTAATTTAAAGGATTTGTTTTCTTTTATTACTAATAAATGAATAACATGTATAGAAATAAAAGATTTTTTTTGCGACTCCATAATAAAAATATTTGCGACTCCATAAAAAAAAATCCACATTAATGAAGGCATTAAAATCGACACTAACAATTAAATTATTTAGATGT